GCTCGGAAGATGACCTTCCAGTCGTTCCACTTGTGCTCCTCTCCGGTAAACATGTCAGGTTTGCCGCACGCGCGCGTGTCCACAAGGTGATCCACTCGAGGCGCCGCAGCAGCAGCAGCAAGTGGTTGGGCCCCGCCAGCCCCCGCTCGGCCAAGGCGTTGCACCTCGGCCGTCAGATCGTTATCCCTGTTCTGGCGGTTCCGGAGCTCTTGCGTCATCGCCTGTGCCGCTTTCTCTAACTGCTGGACTCTCTCCTCGGTCACCGTCCAGGCAGGCTTGAGCTCCGCGAAGAGCGTCAGATGGTTGCCGAAAGCGGACCACAGACGCCTGAACTTGAACAGCCTGCGCAAAGCCCGAATTATCCGCCGCCGGCCGTTGCTAGACACACATATCCACTCCTCGTTCTCTGGCACACCTGGCACGTGCGCGGCACCCGCGCCGGCAAGGCCGGGAACCGCGGAACCCCCGCCAGACGAAGACGGCAGGGACCACGGCCCCGCTACCATGGCGAGGCCAGGAGAGGTGAGCCGAAACGTCGATGGATCATGCCGATTCATGATGTCCAAACGCTCTTTCAGCACAATCACTGCAGGGGGCTATGGGTTTATGCACAGACGGTCTCACAGGCGTCTAACGCTTCCAACAACGCGGCCCAGGAAGACAACAAAGCTGGCCAAGATGGCACAACATTGCCACAAGAAACTCCAAGAGATCCCTAAGTGGCCCCGACAATCGCTGACTAAGCCTCAAAAAAGACCTACAAAAGTCTACCAAAGGTCAGAAACACCGATTGGGAGAAAACTGTCGGCTGATGACCTGTTCCGCACGTCGACCGTATTCGGCCTCATGCTCTGTTGCGCGTGTGGACTGCTTAGGATGTGGTTGTGCTTGCTGCGTAGCGTATAGTGGTATGCGCGAGGTGTATTAGCTCTGCTGTGTGTGCCGTGCGTCGTGCGCGTTCGGTTCGTCTAGCCATCGTGGGGGCATCTTGGGTGGCACATTGAAAACCTATTCGGCCCTTGTGGGCGCCAATTGGGTCCCGCGGTGGGCCGGATGAGGTCAGCTTAGGGTGTACTGGGCCCTCCGAGGACGACGTCGACATGATAATCAAGACAGGTCTTTCGAACAAAAACGCTTTCAGCATCAAAGTACTTGTCGCAAATGAAGGGGGCACGACCTCGCGGGCCGTGACCCCGCGGATGTGGGGCGTCTTGTCGCCGATGCCCCGCGCGGAACGTACCCGTGCGACCTCGTAACCGCGGGATCGCGCTGGGGAATCAAGACCGCGAGGGCGTGGACACGGATTCCTTTCTCAGCTCGTGAAAATTGGCGGGGTCTGCCGCGGGCGCAGCTGGACGCTGGCCCCCGCACGCCGCGCGAGCCTTCTTCGTCGAAGGTCGCATCATGCAGTGAGCAGATCACGATGTTGGTTTTGAGGCATGCGTGGAAGAGAGGAGCGGGGGTGGAAGCGGTGCGTTCGTAGAGGAACAAGCAGTGAAATATACATCGCCCCTGGCGCGCTTCGCGCGCTGGGGAGAGGGGTGCAGCGCCGATCCAAGAAATCAGGGCGGACCTCCGAAAGCCGAGTGTGATGCCATGATCTGCTCCATGAGGAAGGGGGGAGCGGGGGTGGACGTGGCGCGTTCGAGCATGACGATCGGGTGTTGCCAGAGGTGCTCCTGGCCCAGGTTTCCATGAGGCCTCCACGGACTCCACAGCACGCCTCACGAGGCCAAGAGGGCCCCAACGGAGAAAAAAATCGTGCAAAACGCTGGGGGCACCGTGGGCCTGGGGCACCTTCAACAACCCCCGAGATGATGCTTGCTGTGGACGCCCGAAACGGGTGCGGCAAAAATGTTCCGCGGCGACGCAAACAGCGAGTCCTGTTCGCACCGAGACAAGCGGGGGGCACCATGGGCCAGGGACACCTTTGCGCAACCCCCGAGACGATGCCACCTGCTGCTCGAGCGCTGGCCCCAGCCACAGCGACCGGCAGACAGGGACTGGCTCTGCAATGCGCCGCCTGCCTCGAGGGGGGAGGAGGCAGGCCTCGCGCGCGGCAGAGGGGGGGGGCCCTGTCGGGGGAATCGGCAGGCAGGGCAGCCGCAGGCGAGCCATCTCAAGTGGAGGGGGGAGCATTGTAAGGGGGAGTTGGCGGGATTATCCATATCCGCAGCCTGTGGAATCGACGTCCTGGGACCCCAGCGGGCGGTGGATATGGATATTGAGTTGGCCCCAGGGGACCCGAACATACTCACATCCACCGCCTGCCGAGGTCCCCGAAGATTGATCCCTCAGGCGGTGATTATGTATAAATTCTCGCCTCGGAGAGGGGGAGTTGGTGGCGCGCACAAAGGGGGCAGGGGGATGGGGGGAAGGCCTCTTGGAAGGAGGCTGTTTCTCAGAAGGCGCCGGCCTTACATCTACAGATGAGGGCCGCGCACTCTAAGAAGCAAGGGTGCTTCTACGAAACCTTCCCCCATCCATCCACCCCCCTCTACGCGTGGCTGAGGGCGGCGTCTGCTGAAACTCAAGCCACCTGGAAAGCTGGTGGCAATGGTGCGCACGTGCAAGACTGCGGATCCACAGCAATCTGCGAGCAGGAAAATGGAGACGGGCGAGAAACACTGGCGTCGCTGGCTGCGGGCGAAACCGCCATTGGAAGGCGGCCTGAGGGGGCGGATCACAATGGCAGAAGGGATGAAGTGAAATGGACCCAATGCTTCGAGCATTGCATTACGGTGCATGCTGCTAAAACGCCTGCTGCCCCGTCCACAGCGACCGGAAGACAGGTATCGGCTCCGCCACGCGGCTTAAATCAAGGGAGGGCAAACAACGCACGCGGCAAAGGGGGGCCTGTCAAGGGCATAGCCGACAGGGCAGTCGAAAGCGAACCACCCAAAGTGGAGGAGGGGAGGGAAGGGAGGGGGGCATTTCAAACTACCTCGCTGGGACAATAGTCAAGCGACTCGACAATCTGGTGGACTTGGTGCGCCCATGCCATACTGTCTGTGACTGCATTCACGTCGCTGCTGGTTCCAACGCCCGCGAAATGCGACGTCATGGCGACCTGCAGTCCAGCTAGCTGTCAAACAGATCCGCCATTATGCCTTCAGTACGAAGCGGAGTAGCCCGATGCTCATGCCATTGTACGAGCCGTATGGTCTCTATGATTCTGAAAGGCCTGGACCCAAACTTTGCAGGAATGTACGGCGTTACCTGTGCGCTCCCAAAACACGGCGCATGAACCTTCTGGACGCCCCTCCCGCCCTCAACGACGCCAAACTCCCCGCGACGGCGCAAGAAGAGTCCCAAGAAAGCCCCAAGACGGGCAAAAACAGCCTCAAGACGGCCAAAAACGCCCCAAGAAGGCTCCAAGAGGGCCCTATAAGCCCCCACAGCGATCCAAGAGGGTCTCCAGAGCAAAAATCGATGATCCCGTACAAGTCGTTCAAAGATTTCAGATTTCGCTTATCCGGGCTTCCAACGATCCAAAACGAACAACGACCCACGAGGTCATCGAGATCGCCTCACGAGGCCTCCAAAACGGCCCTACGACGGCCCAGGAGGCACCCAAGAGAGCCTAAGAGGGCCCAAAACGGGGAGCCCGAACTGACATTTCGAGCAACGTCCCCAAAGATGACCCCCTAGAGGACCCCACGAGGCAAAGTCGAAATAAAAGACGACCCCACTACTACCACCAGGGCCCTCCCTCTAAAAGGCTTCAATCATGCGTCCAAAAGGCACCCGAGAGCCCCCCAGCAGACCCCCAGAAGCCTCTCAGAGACCTCTTGTCTACGACCCAGGCACGGCAGCGGAATGGCCGAAAATCACGATTTATCTGCTGTGCACGATCCGCCACGTTTCCGCAGGCACTCCTTAGGATGTTCTCAGTGCCACATTGAACGTCCGCAGTTGACATTACCTGTGAGCGTCTGCAACGCGCATGTCTATTGAAAACGCTCGTGTGATCTGTTGGCTCTCTTGAAGACCCCAGACCCCGCCCAACTCACGGGATAGCTGTCGGAATGTTTCGCGTAACTGTTGTTTTGCGTCCTGGGAGCCCAAACTCCCAATACGCCTCAAATCATCCCAGGCCCCCCATCCCTGGAGCCACCTTCGGGGTAATCATGTTCGGCCGTCGTGCAGGCCCTGGGGTCTGGCCCAAGAGCCCCACGCATTTGAATTATGTGCAACTGATGAAATATCATGGGCTGTTCCGTCTTAAGACCATCCAGAGACGCACTTAAAAAAGCCCTCAAGACTGGCAGAAGACAAATCCCGATATTCCCACAAAGAAGCCCAGGGGGGGGGGCCCAAGACGGCCCCAAGAAGGACCAACTAATAGCGCCACTGCCAGACCGCTTGAAGGCTCTCCCTCAAGATGGGCCCCAGACCCCAAGACGCCTCCGAGAGGCCCCGAAGAGGCCTCTGAGAGGTCCCTAGGGAGGCTCCAAAGAGCTTCCCTGGAGGCACCAAGAAGCCCCCAGTGGCCCCCAAGTGAGCCGCCATGCGAATACAAAGGGCTGGCTTACGTCCTAAGATGCCGGGGAACTCCCGACCGTGCCCCCACTGCGCATTCCACCCGTAACCCACACACTCTCGGAAAGCGCCGAAAACAACGAGATCACTTGATAGTGTCCGCTACGTGCCCCTGAGGTCTCTCTGGTATCCCGACAGGGATCTCACTTATAAGAAAGCACACACGCACACGCGATGTGACCCGTGAGGACGATCTCCAGACTGGGCCGACTGTACACTGTGCATGTAATTCGTCCGGACGAAGGTACGGATGCACTGTACACTGTGCATGTACTCCAAGAAAGGTACGGGTGACCGTCTCCTCTCGCCCCGCGTAAGACATGCGAAGCTCATTCACAGGGACGCCTCGGCTGTCGCAGATTTGAGCCTTCGGAGCCTTTCCAACTTCCAACTCTCGTCGCACACGCTGGTCCATGATTATGTAGGTCATCTCTCCCGGCACCAAGACAGTGCGACAAATGTCCTGGCTATCGCATTCGTTCAGCTCCATATCATCCTTGGACAACTTGCTGCACCCCAGCTCGCTCGCAATCAACGGCTCTCGTGTCTGTGGAGCACACCAGGTGCCACTGCAATTCCCCGAACATGGGGTCGGCAAGAGAAAAATCAAACAATTCATCGGTGGCGAGCATTGCGGCGAACGAGCCAGCACAGGGCAAGACGCACAGATGCGCCCAGCGAAGACTTGGTCATGTCGCCAATCCTGTTCCAGCAGGAGCGCTGGGTGCACGGCACAACAGATCAACATCCTGGCGCGCTCGCCATGCCGCACAATCCTGGCCACCATTTGCGTCGTTGGCATCAGCGGCATGCTCTCATCTGGCTGTGCTACATCCTCGTCTGCACGAGCGGCGTGCTCTGATCATCCAGCTGGTCTCCAAGTGAGCTTTGCCTGAAGGGTCCTGACTTCTTCTGGTAAAAGGGCAGGTGGCGCTGGTCTCTCGAAACCAGTGCTCATTGAATGCACTCCTGGCTCCTTGCGAGTCCCCCCCCGAGCCTCGAAGATCTTCACTTCCCCTCTGTAGATCCGCGCAACGCAATGCAATCCGGATGAAATGCAATGCGCTGCGCCGACCTTTCCTGCGCTGCAAAATATGGCAAAGCATCGCAAAACACAGCCGCCGACCCCCGCTTGGGCCGAGAAGGCATGTAAGATGATCGGCTGTCCTCGCCCCGTTAGGGCGGAGGGAACGGAGGGGGGGGCACGAGCTCCCGGACCCACGGGGCCCACAGGCCTCCAAACCCACTTGCGGGCGCCTCCAAGATGCCCAAGGTGGTCTCCAAAATGGCCCAGAAGAGCTCCTACACACGGCCGAAGGGGTTCAAGACAACTTCAATACTGGGAACAAGGCTTTCTCGGACGAAAGAGCCGCAAAGACCGTCTCGAGACAGTCCATGAGGGCCCCAAGAGGGCTCCAAGAAGGCCCAATAGAGCCCCAAGAAGGCCCCAAGACGGCCCAGGGCCCCCTGCGGCGGCCGAGGAGGGCCCCAAGAGGGGCAAGAGGGGCAATAGGAGCTCACTTCTCGATTGGTTATTCTGCCACGATGGCCCCAAGAGGCCCCAAGTGACCCCCGACACGCCCCCAAGATGCCCCAAGAGGCTCCCCAGAGGCAACCGAGAGGCCCCCGAGGAACCTCCCGGGAGGCCCCCAAGAGCCCTTCAAGAGGCCCCCGAGGGGCATCCCGGGAGACCCTCAAATGCAGCTTTGAGGCTTCTGGCCTGCAGGCCCGGCACGGCGCCACGACTCCCGACGAATCCACTGCCACGGGGTCGGCGGGATGGCGTTCGTAGGCCTCTCGACTCCGCCCGCCCACGGGGCTGACGGACGTGGGAGACTCAACTGCGAGAGCTTCTCGCAGTGCTTTGGCCTTACCCCTTTCTCCCCCCCCCCCCCCCCAGAGGCCTATGCCCCTCCGCCGCCCGACTGCGACCTCGACCATTTTCGAGCTCCACGACGGCTTCCAAACGGCGCCCAAGAGGACCTCGAACTTCAGAACGCTCCTAGTACGCATTCGGTGTGCATGTGGTGCCAATTTGTTCCCTTTGGCCCCTTCTTCGCCCTCCCTCACAATCGGCTCCAGTGGCCTCATGAACGCAGGTGTATCGCTGTGGGTTGTCCGAACGTTTCTTACAGCTGACCGTCGGGTCTTCTAGGATACTTCTCAACATGCAAGTTTCGACGCTGTCTTTGGGCGCGCTCTGGGGTTAACTTTTAACGATACTGAATCAAACCTGGATTCCAAAACTGAGCCCCAAAAAGCCCAGATCCCGGTCCAGCATTTAATTCTGCAATTCGAACGGGGTTGCGGCCCAACGCGAAAGTGCTGTCGCTTGGGCCGTCTCAGGGGCCCTTCTGGCCCATCATTTGAGTCCTTATCGGGGCCCTCTTCGGCCAATGTGGGCGCCTTTTGGGCCGTGTTCGCGCCGTCGTCGGCTGGTCTTGGGCAATGTTCTGGCTATGTCTGGCCGAATGCTGTGAATGGGGAGGAAAAGTGAAGCGAACCAACTTCATATCAGCGATCCGTGTGTAATGATGACGGGCACATGGTCAATCGGCAGATATAACATGGACTCGCCACACGGCATGCATGAGCCCAATCTGCGATGGGATGGAGGAATACTGGAGCGCAGTTAAAAGCACACACATGTGGGGGAGTGTTGCACAATTTTCGGAATGGTGTCATCCCGTCTTGGTCCCGTCTTCGTCTCTTCTGGCGAGAACTGGAATGGACGGGCGGTGAACGCGAAGCGTCTTGAAAAGCTGTTCAACGACTCTTGGATGTTTCGCCTCTCGCTTCCGCTGGACGTCTGTGGCCGAAGATTGCCTCCAAGATCGCCAAAAAGAGCCTGAAGAAGGACCGTCACGAGTTCCACGACGGGCCCGATGGCTTCCCATGAGCGTTGCAAGAGCGTCCCAAGAAGGCCTGAGAGGCGAATTGGATTGTCGGCCCCCTTAGCGGGGGACCCACATTTAGGACCCTCCCTTCTTGGACCAATGGCCTGAAGGATGGCGCCAAGACGGCCACCACAGCCCCCAAAAGGGTCCCCTAGAAGGCCGCACGGTCGCGCGCGCCGAAGGCACTTTGGAAGTGCCTTCGGGTCGGCGCAGGGGCGCCCAAGAATGTCGGAGTTTGTGCGCCAGGGCATTTTTTCTTCCAAGACAAAACTCAAAGCGACTCCCCGATGTCTATAAGTTAAACAATGCTGGCCTTGTCCTTTCACTGTATGCTGATATACTTCCCTCATCCCGATCGATTGTTCGTCAAAGTATCGTTGCTTGATGGGCTGCTAGGAAAAAGGAACGCGGAACGGAGTGCGTTTCTCCATCCACCTTCTGGGGGGCTGGCGGAATGGCTTGAAGCGCTTCGACACGAAACAAAGAACACGAGTACGAGGACGCATGCGTCCGCCCGTTACCGTCGCCTCAGCCACGCTGCAGCTCGCTCGAAGTTCCAGCATGTCTTCAGCCCCACGTCTGGAGCGCAACGAGCCTGTCTGCGAAGCGTGGACTCATACTACCCAAAACAGCGGGCGGCGGATATGGATATATGTCGACCCACTGGGGCCTAGATATATGCATCGGAGGTTGGGGGGTGAGATCGCAGTGAAACGGAGACCCCCCACCGGGAAATCAGTTTCGGCTTCGTGTTCGTGTAGTTGCGCGCGGGCGAGGCGAAGATGCGCGTGATCCTCCTGTAGCTAGGCCGAAGTAGGAGCGAAAGTCCGTTCCCCGTCCGCCGGTGGCCAGGAGGGGTCCCAGTTGGGCCGGGCGGTGTCCCGGGTGTCCCGGGTGTCACTATAGGAGCGAGAGTCCGCTTCCCGTCCGCCGGCGGCCGGGCGGCATCCCAATTGGGCCGGGCGGTGTCCCGGGTGTCCCGGCACTAACGCACGTCGCTAATTACATGATTCATCTGTTTCGGCGCCTGCGGCGGGCTTTCATATCCAATCCAGCTTATCTTATCCAGTCCATATTGTCCAGTCCAATCCATCTCATATTATCCAACCCAACTTGTCCCACCTTATCTTATCCCACCCAATCCCATCCACCCAACCCATTTCATCAATTCATTTGTTTCTGCGCCTGCGGCGGGCCAATCCAACCCATCTCATCTTATTCAATCCATTTCTTCCAATCCAACCCATCTTATCTGATCCAATCCATCTTATCCCATCCAATCCAATCCACCCAACCCAATCCATCAATTCATTTTTGTCGGCGCCTGCGGCGGGCTTTCTTGTCCAATCCAGCTGATCTTATCCAATCCATCTTGTCCAGTCCAATGCATCTTATCTTATCCAACCCATCTGGTCCCATCTTCTCTTATCCCACCTAACCTAATACATCCAACCCAATACATCAATTCAGTTGTTCCTTCGCCTGCGGCGGGACAATCCAATCCATCTTATCTTATCCAATACATCTCTTCCAATCCAACCCATCTTATCTTATCCAATCCATCTTATCCCATCCAATCCAATCCACCCAACCCAATCCATCAATTCATGTTTGTCGGCGCCTGGGCGCAATCGCGGCAGACTGCGAGAGAGAGAGAGACACACAGAGAGAGAGAGAGACAGAGAGAGAGAGAGAGATGAGATCAAGGTGACAGGCTGGAGGTCAGTCGGGGTGGGCATTTGATCTCACCCCCCCCCAACCTCCTTATCGCCCGCAGGGCGGTCGTATAGGTATAGATATATGCATGTCCACCGCCTCCCGAGGTCCAGTACGATCGGTTTCCAAGGCGATGGATACGAACGATCTCCGCCTCGGACTGCTTCCCTGCGAACAAGAAGCTCCAAATCGGGGTCGCGCTGAACTCACGGCTTCTCTTCACCGAACTCGCGCCTGGCGCGCCCGACGTTCGGCGGCCCAAAGGCTGGGCCCTGAGGCATTGGGCCCTCACTGACTGGTGGAACGCAGAGGGACGCACGGGTGCCATTCGCCCCCCTTGGGAGGCGCACGCCCTAACCGGACTCACATCGCCACCTAGGCGGTGTGGCCAGAGAGCGCCCGCCTCCGAGCATGTATCTGAGAAGGGCGAGTGAGATACTGGAACCTCAAGATCGGCTCCAAAGCGATCCCCAGAGCCCTCGCGGGGTGCGAACGCCCGAACTTTCCGAGCCGCGTCCAGCCGTGGCGACGAGGGGGCCCTCCGAAGGCCCACTGCCGGTGGCTCGAGCGGCCCTCCGCTGCATGTACCATGAAGTGTCTGAGCGCGCGCGTCGCCCCTGGGGGGCGACGGACACACGCAGTTAGGGATGCGCACTTTCCAAACAAGCGTGGATTCACTTACGCTCCTGAGTCGTATGTACTGGCCTGAGTGCTGCCGAAGTGCGGCCTCTTGCCCTCGCCCTCGCCCTCCCCGCCCCCCACGGAATCCGCAGGACACCGATACCGCTGTTCCCCAGACCTCTCCCGGGGTGCGCCCTGACCAGGATTTCGTGGCGAGTCCGGACGTGGCAACGAGGGCCTCCCAGGAAGCCCAGAAGGGCGAAAACGAAGCAGGGGAAGCGGAATGCGGAGGAACACAACACAGAAATTCGGACCTCCGAGAAATCACGTGTCTGCTTTGCGCCGCTCTCTGTTCCCCGAGTATCGGCACCTTTTCCTCCTCTGACCCCAGGGGCCCCGTCCTTGGCCCGCCGAGATGCCCTTGCCCCACTCGCTTTCCATGAGACGCAGCCCCTGGGCCAGCGGCTCCCACGCCGCGGCCTCCCGCGACAGCAGCGACCGCAGGAGCTCGCCCTCCCCAGCCCTCCAGGACGACCTGAGGGGCAACGACCAGGGGGGGGGGACTGGCATGGGGGGTGGGACACATCGAGCTGGAATCGGCGATACATCGCCGATGGATCGGCCATTGGCCCCCGATAGCGAATCCGACCTGGGCAGGTTGG